ATAAGAAAGGTTCATTGTCTGGTCAAATACACCAGAATGAACCCACTATAAGCAATGTGTTTTCCAACCACTGAGATGAATTCAAGAAAAAACAACAACATTCATGCCTTTTGAAACAAGACCTCAGGCCTAAGTCTCCTCTGCTGTATGCCAGTGTTAGACCTATTACAGCCCTAATCATACCTGACAGTTATCTTTAAAACCTTATACAATTCACCTCTGAAAGAAAACCTGATAATAATAAACAATAATAATATCATTCTGTTATTTTTGTACTGCTTTCGTTGTTCCTATTACATTTAGTAGCTCACCTTGAGATACGCAGAAGGTGATTAATAAATAATGATAAGAGGAAGATAACACTGCAAAAGGCACCTGTATTTTCTTGAATTGTTAAAACACTTTCAAATGCATTGCAGGACTGCCCAACTTCAGATACAGGGTTCAAATGAAGAGTGTATTAAAATATATATTCAAGTCTTTAAACTCAACAGTCCCACACACAATTTTGTGCAATTATCTAGCTACAATCTAAGATGGGGAAAAAGAAGAGGGGGAAACTGATGTTACGGCTGCTGTTTCTGAAGGGTTTCTGGTACTCTGTGACCACTGACATTTAGGAGACTGGAACTGTGTGCGTCAGTGACTAGAAAGCACAACAGAAAGTTGGAGAGCACATTAGGCAGTCAGTCAACTGGAACAAAAAGAGAACTACAGTTTAGTAACAGCGGAATAAAAGCATGTAAAAACAGGCCAGACATAAAAGTCAGCAGGATCAGCATATGACTCTAAAAGGCACTTTTCCATCAGAGAGCTTCTCTCCCCCCCCCCCACACACACCCATAAGCACATCCGAGCACGGCCGTTGCTTATAAAAATGCATGTCTTTGTTAAAAGCCTAATTCCCTTTGATCAGAATGAGCCGGCTTTCCCCAACATGGTGCCCTCCAGATGTTTTTTGGACCACAAAATGTGGCAGCCAGAATAGACAGTTTACTCGCTGGAGCTGAAAAAATGGGATTGACTGCCACCAGTCTTTAAAGCTCCACACTGGTAGAGAGTTTGCTACTGCGCCCGGTTCTATATAAAGCCCTACACAGCCAGGGGAGGGGAGCAAATGTTTGAATGGAGGACCTCTCCATTACCTGCTGACCCGTGCTGATCTGTGGGAGAGGATCTGCTTGCAGTTCCATTGACAGCTGTGGTTTACTGTCGGGCAGAGCAGGTCCCTTTTCTACTATGGCTGGACCTCCCCACCGGATGTGGAACTCCCTCCCATTGGAGATGTACCTATCCCCAACATTATCTAAGTTAAAACACATTACTGTTTTTTCCTTCAAGGCTTTGGAGATGGCCAATTTAAGAACTGGGCTTCCCCATCCCACTCCTAGGCTGCAGCTTATGGTATCTATTGGTTCCATGCCTTTTGTGTGATATTGCTGTGGTGTCAATAAATTGTTAATATCAATAAACTGTTCGCGTGATGCTGCCCTGGGAACCTTTGGACTGAACTGCAAAGGTTATGAATAATATATAAATAATACAACTCGCATCAGCTGCAGCCACCATGGCCAATGATAGGGATCATGGGAGTTGTGATCCGAGACATCTGAAACAGACTTGGCGGAAAGCCAAACCATGCAGAATGACCCACCTAGAAAGGTTACAAAGGTAGGTGCACATTATTCTATTCTATTCTATTCTATTCTATTCTATTCTATTCTACTCTACTCTACTCTACTCTGCTCTGCTCTAGGAGCCAGTGTGGTGTAGTGGTTAAGAGCGGTAGTCTCATAATCTGGTGAACCGGGTTCGCTTCCCCGCTCCTCCACATGCAGCTGCTGGGTGACCTTGGGCTAGTCACACTTCTTTGAAGTCTCTCAGCCCCACTCACCTCACAGAGTGTTTGTTGTGGGGGAGGAAGGGAAAGCAGAATGTTAGCCGCTTTGAGACTCCTTCGGGTAGTGATAAAGTAGGATATCAAATCCAAACTCTATTCTTTCATTCATTTAATTTCTATACTGCCCTTCATCTGAGGATCACAGGGCGGTTTACAATATAAAAATACAAAAAAATGCACAACATAGTAACAGAAACAATAGCAATAATTTCTATATAGAGTTGCAGCACTGTCTGCAGAACAAAGCATTTCAACAGCTTTCCAATGAGTTTTGGAGGTGCTGAAAGGTCACCTCGAAAGAAATGGCACAATCATCAGGAAACAAAAGATGCAGGGCCAGTTGTGGATCCAGGCTGCAGGTGTCCAAAACTTCTAGTTGCTGTGTATCTACACTATAGTGGTACCTTGGTTGTCAAACTTAATCAATTCCAGGAGTCCGTTCGACTCCTGGAACCATTTGAAAATCAAGGCGCGGCTTCTGATGGGCTGCAGGAGCTTCCTGCACTCAATCGGAAGCCGCAGAAGTTGCATCGGACATTCGGCTTCCGAGAAACCTTTGCAAACCAGAATACTCATTTCCGGGCTTGTGGCATTCAGGAGCCAAGCCGTTCGAGAACCAAGGTACCACTGTACTATCTTCAAGTGGTTTATTAGTCACACTTTCTTCCCAGGAAACCTTGGAAGCAGTGATGTGGGATTTCTGGAAAACTTCTGAATTGGATTTTTTTACCCACCGTACATAAATGTGTAGGAAATCTTCCGGTGTTCTGGAGAATAATCTAATTTAGCAAGTGGAAGCTGCCAGACTTTTCTTAAACCATACATTGTTCCTAACAAAACATACAAAACTGAAAATTTTCTATGGAAAAGCCCCACATCGCTGTTAGGAAACTGCAGTTCGAAAGGATCTTTAACATTCTTCACCAACCTACAATTCCCAGGACTATTTTTTGGGAGGAAACCTTACCTAAATTCCTGTAGATATATCTCCTCAACATGCCAAAATTCTATTCCAAAGACAGAATAGATGGTGGCTCTGGACACAGTATAAATGTTGGCTTTGTTGCCTAACTTATTCCACTAAGTTGTTGCTTGGTAAAAGAACTTTGCATTCACCAAAGTGCTACAGAAAGCAAACAAGTGGTGACTCCACCAAAATCTGTAGAGGGCTTCTATTCAGTGTTCCAGCCAATCCATTCCATCTCCTGTTCCAGGTTTTACCTAGACACACCCCAACAGTTGGCCAACAGTTGTCTTTGGGCTTCTTCCCATCTGAATTGTTTGGGAGTTTTTAAGTTTGCAAGCCTTAGGGGTTCCTGCAAACCAGCTGGCACTGTCCTTTTGTGCATGGATGATACAATTTAAGGAGCAGTGCTAAAGAACTGAGGTGACTATCAGTAGATAAAAAAGATACCCCAATGAGATCTGAAACCAGTACAAATAACCAACACTGTCTTGTGGGTTTCCCATAGGAATGGTCACTGTGTGAAAAGTGTTTGACTCGACATGCCTTTTGTCTGATTTGGCAGGGCTGTTTGCTCACTAGTAGGTGTGTTTTTAGGACTTCAACCTAAGTAAAGTATTAGGTACTGAGCATGCAGGTATCTTCTAGCTAATACCTTCCAGCTAAGAAATGTTCTGAAGGCTATGCCATGCATGCAGGCAAAAACAAGGAGTCCCGTCCCCCCCATGTAACAGGCTACTAATACAAATGTAGACTTGTCACTTAACTGCATAAATATGCTTAGATGTATTTCTCTGTTGGTTTTAAGGTTACTTCCCCGCCCCCCTTTGGAACACCTCAAACCCTTAAGAAGAGCCACATGCTGGGCTCTGAAGAGCAACACTCTGAGAGTTGCCGACATGCAGTATACTCAAGCATCTCCACACTTCAGTTGCAGAGGAAAGTGCCTTCCAAGAAAAATACAAGTTTGCCCAAAGGTAATCACCTTTCAGATCAAGTCAGATTCCTAATTCATGAACAGCTTGTCTGCTTTCATCACTTCAAAAGAAAGTCATTCTTTATTATAAGCATATTTGGGGGTAGGGGGAGGTGGCAGACACTGGAAATTAAAACGAAACTGTCCGGTTGGGAAACGTACATTTACTGAATACAGGGAAAGCTACATATTAGTGCCTTGCAGTCCATATTAAGTTTCTACTGTGATTTATGTCTTGTTTGCAAGAGCAATACTGCGGTATTATAACTGGCATGCAAATCATTTGTGTTCTCGTGTGCCACCCAGAAAGTGAGTCACATGTTTCTCTTTCCTCCGGTGAATAATAACCAGTTTGGGGTGGAAGGAAGAATAAAAAGAAGAACTGCTCTCTAGGAGAAAAACACTTCCAAAATTTAGAGTTGAGGCATACTAAGTATAGCAGTTCTGGATACGTTTAATTTAAAGGATGTTCTTTGTTCCAGAATACATCAAGCTTCCTTGAATAAAGGGAGTTTATTTTGAAAGAAGGCATTTATTTCAAAACTAGGGCACAGTCCAACATGCATATATGTGTATCACTTGATTACTGTGCATCTGATGGCTGGCAGCTAAATGTGCGAACCAAAGAGAATTGTGTTTGAGGTGATGTGAGGAGACAGGGAAGTTGCCTCTGTGGTGGCCTCTTCACACATAAGAGTCACCACTTGATGTGGCAGAGCACATACATGCATCCTGATCCTAAATATGCGCACCAGCTTGTCTTCCTGCAAATACATGGAACATCTCTAAAGAATGTGCATGCCATTAAGAGCTGTGAAGTTGCACTGAAGGCAATGTCCACCTGTTTGCCCTAAGTTCTGCTAAGAGGTACAAAATAGGGTATTAGGTTGCTGGCACTGAAACAATCTATTGAGGTAAAAACTAAGGTGGCGCATCCATTAGCAACAAGAGGTTGAGAGAAGATATCGTGCAGGTCCACAAACAAAAAACAAAAAACAGCAGAGATTTAAAAATGGATTTTCCTTCCTTTCCAAATACTTTTGTGTGAAGGCAGCCTTGTGAGTAACATGGAAGCTTACTACTCTCTACACAGTTGGATGAATAAAATAGGTCAATGTTAGGTTCTACTGTGTTTTAAAATGATTTATATTTCTTTTTTTATAATAATAGGAGACATTTGCAGAGCATATATCTTTGTCTCTCTCAACAACAGAAAATGGAGGTATATACTATTAACATGGCTTGACTTTTTATGAAGCGTAAGTTCATAAACAAAGTAAGCCCACCCTTTGGTCTCAGTCTCATACACAAAAGTTACCCTTCCTTTACCTCTGTGTTTCTAGTTTTACTTTGTCTACAACTCCATTCTTTCTACCATGAGGACACCTCACTAGTGTCTGCAGCCCAACCCACCAGTTGGGAATCACTGGTTTAATCTAATGATGCAAAAAGATGAGACATACTGGTTAACTGATCCATAAAACAATTACGTGCACAGAGATGCTTGTTCGAGACGGAAAAGGATTAGGGTACATTGTTAAAGACAGGTGAAAAGGCAGCATCTGATCTTCATATGGCAGAGTTCACCCTTCCAGAACACTTCCACTTTCTCTGCCATCACTAATTTCTATATGCAGATTTCAATTTCTTTAAGAACCACACTCAATCACAACAAAAGTCCTACACTTTCCAAGAACTGGTCGTGAAAAGAAACCTATTTGCAGATTTCCTAAAAGGTGTTCATTTTTTCTTTCCCCTTCAAAGAGCTATAGAGAATTTTTTTTAAGAAGAAAATAAAGAAAAAACTTATTTCGTTATATCAGCTGCTATAAATATATATGTAAATATATCTGCTTTACTTCTTGTAAAAACTTTACCCATCAATACAAGTGTCACCTGCTTAACCTGATTGTGCGCCACATGCAAAGACGTCCATGTAGAATTTCATTTTTCTCCCAAATAGAAAGATAAACAGAAACAATGGAAGTGTTGTGAGGGGTACCTGCAAGGGTTGTGGCGCGCATGCAAACACATACACACACACACTTGTGCAAGCCATGGTCTAAAATAAACAAGGTGCAGATAATGAGGGTTCCACTGTGCTATGTAGTCATAATACAGTGTCAGTAGCATTTTTCCTCTTCAAGCACAACCAAGAAATAGGCCACACATGACGTGAATTAGCTTCCCCCTCATCATTAGTTTTCCTCTCTCATGCTTAAACTGTGACCTCATTTTACCAGCAAATTTCACACAACCTATGAATGACATCAGCGATTAAACCTTGATTGAAACAAGATGGGGAGTTCTCACTGTAACCTGAGAGAGAAAAGTGCAACACAGTCACCGACAGGCTAGAGAGATTTATGGGAACTTTATCACTGCTGAAACACCTCAGTTTTTAAACATCTACTTTCAACACGGCAACTGACTTTTAAAGTCTGGCGCACTGGAGATAGGAATGATACAGTGTAGGTCCTCTACTATTGAACACCTGGCAGGTCTATGGTAAGCGGTTATCACATTTTGGACCAGGACGAGCAAATTGCCAGAAACAATTAAGTACTGGAGTCCATGAATTCTACTGGCGCTTGGAAAACAGCTAGCCAGGCAAGCTAGCTTTGACCCCCATTGCAAGCGCATAGGTAAGGTGTAATATTGAAATAGTGGAAACAAACGCATTTGAAAATGGAAACACAGAGAAAAACATACCCAGCCTCCATTGTCTTGGATCCAGTTGTCCAGGTGCCTGTTCAGGTAGTCAGTCATCCACACGGTGATATTGTCCACAAGGGGCGACATCTCCCGGCTGACGCTCTCCACGCACATCATGCCACCAAACTCAAAGAACGCCACAATCCTCCCCCAGTTCACCCCGTCTCGGAAGAGCTCTTCGACAACTGCCGCAAAGCGAGCTCTGGCAGTGACCGGGGTCAAGTGCAGCTGTCCAGACATCTGAGCAAAGTCCCTCCTGTAACGCCGCGAAAACTCATCCCCGGCTTGACGTAAAGTCGCGTGGACAACCTGTGGCACAGGGTGCGGTCCATCAGCCGGGGCGACGTTACTTACAGGCAGCTCGGAAGGATGAGATGCCATTCTAGCAAGGTTAGGGAAGGTCTCTGCAGCAGCAGGATCTGGAGGAGGAGGAGGAGAAGGAAGGTCTTCTCTGTCTTCACTGGCAACCCAGTCATATCCTTTCTGCGACAGCTTGTAATGGATGTACGTCTGCACTATCTCTCTTGTGTCGTAACCTCTTATCCCAGTCTGAGCCATCATTTATAGCAAGGAGTAGGGGAAAGGAGGGGGAAAATATATGCAGAAGCGGATGGAGTGTCCCCCCTCCCGCCCCCCAAAAAATAAAGCAGCCAGTAATTGTAAATGCCAGTGTTTATATATAATCCAGTTGTTTTATTCTATGCAGTTCCATTGGTTGAGGTATGGGGGAGTCCTCAGGGTCTCAAAGGTATTTCCGCCTTCCCAGTGTTTCCCTCCTCAGTTTGCGATGCACGGTGGAAACCGGATTTAAAATGCAGCCAGTACTGTATTCCACATGTAATATTTATTATGAAGCGTATTTGCAGAGGCGTTCCGTCCTCTGTGTTGAAATGCATCTGAAATAAGAAAATCAGATGCTTATTCAAAGTCAGGTGCATTTCCACACACACACAGCCCTCCTACATGCTGCTATAGACTAGGACATGAATGAAGGAGACTGCTGGGCACACATTCCAAACAAAAAAAACCAAAAAACCCTGACATCCAATATGTGATTTACTAAGCAGAGCCACCTCTAATGCAAATTCATGCAAAGCACATTCAACTAAAGACCCTCAACCAGTGTTTAAAGGGAAACAACCACCACCACCATGAAATGAAATAAAGTTACCCAAAGCAAATTGCCTGTGGAAAAAAACAAACAAAAAACACTTACTTGAAATAAATCTACTTTTCTGTCAAGTTTCCTTGCAGGGAAAATAAATAAATAAATCCAAACAGTCGCAGGTCCTCTACAAAAATGAAACGCAGTAGTTTCTTTGATGATACCCCCCAAAAAGTGGGGGGGGGGAGAAAAAGAATAAGGGAAGAGTGTGGAATATCTTCAGATACCGTTGAGTTGCTATGATTTCCAGAAAGACTCACAAGGCTCCCGTTTGAATGACATTTCCAAAGCTATGCCCCAAGTCTCAGCAATCCCTGCCGCTGAACTTCAGGAAAAGCCCCAGGACGAAAACGAGGAAATTTCTGCAAAGCATCATAAAAAAAAAATACCTCATGTTTAAATCCCTGCTGTTTAGATTTCTTTTTTTTAAAAAATGTTTCATTCAGACACGGATCTCCCTCCACTTAGATGCCACACGCGCGCGCAAATCTGGAATGAACCACCTTTTCTACTGCTAAACTCCGGATGGGGAGAGGAAAATACAGTACCCCCCACCATTAAAAAAAACAGCACAGGTTTTTTTGCGTTGCGCGCGTGTGTGTAATATATAGGGAGAGGAGGAAGAGATCCCAGGAGGCAAAGGGGCGTGTCTCAGAGGTATTAATTGGTCCTGGCCGCCACCCCCCACCCCACCCCCCACCGCCCTTGCTACCCCGGGCAGCCGCGCAATGCTTCCCAGTCACGAGGCGCCTCCTCCTTCTCCAGCCCGGGCTGCAGATTGGATGCGCTGGCTGAGCTGCGTTCGGCTCGGCGCTCCGGCGGCTGTTGGGGAGGTCCCGGGGGCAGGGGAAGCGCACTCGATGCAGAAGCCCAAGGGGGCGGAGAGTCGAGGCGAGCCGCTCTCACGCTCCGGGGCTCAGCAAATGGGGCTGCTTCCCTCTGGCCCCACCTCGCCGTTCATTCAAGAAAAGGGGGGGAAGAGAGAGAGAGAGAGAGAGAGAGAGAAGAAACAAACAAACAAACCCATTTTTTCTCCTTGTGTTTGCACTCGCTCGCGTCTTGCTTTTGCACCCGCAATTTCGGGGGGTCTCAGGGTGGGTGGTCCACGGTGGGGGGGAAAGGCGGCAAACCTGCTTTTCCCCCCGCGCGCTCTCTGGCTGTTTTCTTTTCTTTCTTTCCTCCTTCCCCGCCATTCATTTTTCTTCTTTTGTTTTCATGGGCTTCTTTTAAAATTTTAGGTTATTCAGCGGCTCGTCCCGTGCTCTTAAGGCGCCCTTAAGAGCCATTTTGTGAGAGAAAAGGGGCTTCTAAGCACTTTTTCCCCCTACTGAAGGGGGGGGGAGCGCCTTGCAATAAAACTTGTTTACAGATGGGGAAACTGAGGCAGCAAAAGGATAGGGAGCCACCCAGAAAGCCCATGCATGAGGTGGAACTGAACAAAAATAATATAAAATTCAGCGTTGTGGAAACCGCTGACCCACGGACAGAGGGGAAACAGGATAGCGTACCATTTTCCTCCCCTTATTTTTTTTTTAGGGGGGGGAGAGAGAAGGGGAAGGACGTGAAACTGGATTTCTCCCTTCTGCCTTGGTTTAGGGGAATTTGTGCATAAAAAAGAGGGACGGTTTTTCCAGTGCACCCACGAGAAAATGCTGTTTTTTGCAAGTTCGAGGCAGAAGCAGGGCCGATTTTAAAAGCAACCGCGTCACCTACAGTTTCATCCTGCAAGATCTCATGCCACGGGGGCCGAGCAAGCAACTTGCCCGGGGGTTTTCGCCCGTTTCCCGCCAAGAGCCTTCGGGCACACACACACACACACACCCCCCGCCGGCTCCCCATGTAGAATTGAGAACTGGGGTTTTTTTTAAATAAAAAATAAAAACTTCCCTCTTAGGGTTCAAAATTGAAGGGACCACCAGGCCATTCCTTGCCCGGGTGATGCGTGTCTGAGAGAGCGTGTCTGAGGGAGGCTTAGAAGTCGTGGCGTGTGTGGGTATTTAAAATAAAAAAAGAAAAGGGGGGGCTTACACTTCTGGCGGCAAACTCCCATCGATATCCCCCCACCCCCGACTTGCAACTTGGGCGGCTCCACGCGAGCTTGTGGAGCAATTTCCGCGCTCTGCATCCTGACGATGATTTATTCCCGCCTTCTCTCGAAGGCGCCACTCGAGGGCTCTTGGCGCGCTGGTGAAGGGAAGGGAAGCGGCTCAAAAGTCCCGTCCCCTTCCTCATCCGGCGTCAGGGGCAGGTTGCGAGTCGGCTGTGTGGCCCCGTTTACCCGCTTTCTGCCTTTTAAGAGTTTATTTTGGCTCCTTTTTTGCCTGGTCTGTGCGCATCATGCCTTCATTTATTTTTTTTACAACATGCAAAACGCCCGTTCTCAAAACACCTCAGTTCTCAGGACTTAACACCCTCCAACATTTCTCCAATGAAAATAGGGACACCGTATTTTTCTTTTTCTTCTTTTATTATTATTATTATTATTATTATTTTATTAGTTTTTTTGAGTAGGAAAGTTAAAACTAAATAATATTTTTTATTATTTTCTGGTGGGTCTGGAACAGATTTCTGAGCCAGAAATCCACCTATATCTTTAATCAATAAAGTTGTGGCCATTTCTAATCCAGATCATTGTCTGCTTGAGTTTACTAATCACATTTTACATTTAGCCACTGCTTGGGGGTGGAGGTTATATGCAGCAGTGCAGCTGGGCTCACAAGAAATAAAACAAACTTCATGGTGAGTTCCCCTATTTCCCCCCAGAAAAAGCACCAACTACTACTACAACTTATTATTATTATTGTTGTTGTTATCATTATTCTTATTTTCCATCTGACTGGGTTGCCCCAGTCACTCTGGGCAGCTTCCAACATATATAAAAACATAATTAAACATTTAAAAACTTCCCTATACAGGGCTGCCTTCAGACTGGTCTGGGGTCACATAACTCCATACCCGGCCTAAAACATCTCTGGATACCATATTGTCTTACATTGAACATAACCAAAAGACTTTATAATCTGATCAACAACAAAGAGAGACATTGCACGTTCTTTTGTAATTTGTGAAAATCTTTAATCAAAATTATTTAATTTAAAATAGGGACAACCTACCATAACCTCCAACAAACCTTTGATGAAAAGAGGGACACCTTAAGGAAAAGCGAGACATTCCAGGATCAAATCAGAAACCGGGACGAGCTTCTGTAAATCCAGGACTGTCCCTGGAAAATAGGGACACTTCGAGGGTCTGAGGACTTCACCACCATTACATATTGCTGGCTCCCCAATTCCTCAGGTCTATTCTGCCGCAGGATGCCTCATTTGTCTTGCTCTATTTTTTTATAGAAGCATCATTTATATTCTATGGAAGTTGCCTTTTGAGGGCTTTTGACCTAGAAGGCAAGCTGAAAGACCTTACAAAAAGTAACTCACGGGCTCAGCTGCATTGCTAAGCCCCAAGCTAAGCAATAAGGCAGTTATCTCCAACCTGGTGCTCTCCAGATATTGCTGGACTCCCAATTCCCATCAGCCCAAGGCAGCATAGCTGTAGTCCAGCTATATCCAGCGGGCACCAGGGTGAAATAAGTACAGTGGTACCTCGGGTTACATACGCTTCAGGTTACAGACTCCACTAACCCAAAAATATTGCTTCAGGTTAAGAACTTTGCTTCAGGATGACAACAGAAATCGTGCTCCGGTGGCGCAGCAGCAGCAGGAGGCCCCATTAGCTAAAGTGGTGCTTCAGGTTAAGAACAGTTTCAGGTAAAGGACAGACCTCCGGAACGAATTAAGTACTTAACCCAAGGTACCACTATATGGAGGATGCTAGGGGCATGGGGCTGTTCCTGTGTGAACTGTGGAACTGTCCCCTACCTGGCATGTAACTTCACCCTAGATGAACCGTAAGCCTGATTCCAAACTTTCGTTTTGAAAAAATAAAACAAAATTCCTAACGTTTGTAGAACTTGACAAGCATACTGTATATCTATCTGTACAGGGTCAACAGATTTTTGACCTTTGTTTTCCTGCACTTCCAATGTTTATTTTTCAAAGGTAATATTGTTGTGATTGCATTTTTTCATTGTAAGCTTTTAAATAGCTGTAACCTGCCTTGTGACCTTAGGCTGAGGGGCAGGTAATAAATTAAATTAAAATAATGCTGCTGGTAACCGAACAAATAGAATGCCTTATCTTGAAACAGCATGTGGTAAATTCTAGTTTCTCTATTACACAAAACTCAAAAATATTATTTTTTTTGCCTATTATGAGGTTTCACGTAATTCAAAAGTTTGCTTTTACTGGTAGGTATGAGTCTAATAAAAATAAGATATGAGTGAAATAAAATATGCAGCTTTGTTAAGGATGCTGGGAATCATAACTCTGGGGGGGGGGGAGCTGCAGTTCTCATGACTTTTTAAGGGAAGTCATGTGTTTTAAATGTGTGTGCTTTAAATGTATGTTGTGAATCTGTAATATCAAAAGCTTGCTGCATTAAGCAAACTGTTGAGCCATTTGTAATCAAATGTTGGAGTTTTGTTCCAGTAATATGCTTAGAAGTATTGGGAAAGTAACTAACCCTGTCTGACAGAATTGTTAAAATCAATTCATTCAAGAACTGTCAGAAAGAGGGCATTCCAAAATCCCTGTCATTAATACAGTTATCCTAGAGAGATGACATTGAAAGATTTTGTAAAAAAAATAGATTGGATTCCAAAGCACCGTTGGAACATGAGATAGCTTGTACCCATGAATATGAGTGCATTATCTCTACCTACTCTAAAACAAATGTTCCTGAGGTAGCTTACAAAGATCAGAAGTTTTACCTCTCAGGCTTACATGTTAAAAGACACAACACAATAAAAAAATAAATGGGCAGGGATACGGCTGATAATATAAAAATATGTTGATCAAGGCAAAAGCTAGGATGGAGAAGGGAGCAACAGGAATAATACTTGCATCCAGAAAGAAAATGTAGATACTTTATTTCAGAAACTTGTCTTCAAATCAGTTTTTCCAGTAGTGCAAATATTAAAGGAGCAATATCAAGCACAGGAATAAGCAGACATAAAGCAAGCCAGTGTAAGCTAAGCTGTTGTAAAGTTACACTGCTGCTCTGCCAAAGCCTGGATCGCAGAAAACAAGCCTTTAAAATGCTGTTCTGTGTTGGGACATATAACAGAGCTGAATGGGTTTAGGATTCAGCCTAAGGCCCCCGTCTGGTCACACCACACCCAGAATGCCCCTTTTGGGGGCTTAAACCATCCTTAGCGCAACCAGATTCAGCCCAGCCAGCTGCACTAGGCTGAGCAAGTTGCAATGGTGTATTGGGGCTGAGTCAGGGTTGGGAACTTAGAATCATAGAATTGTAGAATTGGAAGGGGCCACGATAATCATCTAGTCCAACTCCCTGCAAGGGAAGAATCTTTCGCCCAATGAACTGGGTAGCAACAGACACACACTTATAAAACTACAATTGGTAGCACCTTCTTAATGTGGTATTTTCCCTCTTTTTTCTCACAGAGAATAAAAAATATATATTTCTAAGAGGTTGCCTACTATGACACATTTGCATCTGAAAACATTCATACGAATTTATGCATCTTGGCTGATTTAAACTAAGATTTCTTGATGAGTCTAGACAAGGTTCATTTCAGTGTTGGTCAGGAAGCTGAAATAAATTAAACTGAGTGGCCATTCTCACATTTTTTAACTTGCTGGTGACCAATGAACATACTGATCACTATGCCAGAAAAAGTAATATGAAACCCCTAAAAAACCGAGGGAGGAAATCTGTCACTTATGCCATTTCTGCACTTATCTGTTTA